TTTAAAAACAAAGTTAGCCATGAAAGTTTACGATTACGTATTTTTCTATTTGCTATTTTTTGCAGAGTTAACAGTTAATAACTAAAATATGTTAATAACAATAAAAATATTTCTTTAAAAAATACATTTATTTTTTTATTAGTGGTACACAGCGTTACGAAAAATTTAGAAAGGGTACACAAAAGTCATAAGTTTGAGAAAGACTGCCTTAGGTAAATTCGAGATAGCGTAGTATATAGATGCTTTTGGAACATACATAAAGATAAATTCACTAAACTATAGACAGTTTGGCGAATCAATGACACTACTGGCCCAGGGATTATTCTATATGAAATATGTTAGTTTAAGTTTTACGCAATAATTTTTTATGTGCAGTTGTGCAGTGCTGGGCAAAATCCTTTTAAATCAACTCTACTAAGCAGAGATAAAACTATTATTGCTCACATTTCGTTTCATTAAAATAAAAGTATCACAGGGTAACAAATAATTAACTTCTTTTATTTCCAAAGCCCACTCGTGTTAACATTTTGTCAATTCAGGCTTTTTACTGGGCATATTTGTTGACTACTCTATCTTTCTGGGGCACCATATTAGGTGGGCCAACGTTGCTTCCACAGTAAGGACAGATAGTACAGATATTGAAAGAACATCCATGTCTTGCTCGAGATTTAACTTTCTGATGATATGTATATAAATTTAAGCTTCAAGATCTTATTATTAACTTTTCTTTTATAAGTTTACACTTCAACATTCTTTGTTTTGATCTTGTAAAAGCTAAAATGAGTGAAATTTCACCAAATAAAAGGAATATGTAGATAATTTATCTTTCGTTATTAATTTTCAAAACCTTATTTTCGATAAGATTAAATTTAAAATTAATGATGAAATTAAAGATGAAAGTTTGAAAGAATTTGTTTCCATTAAAAGACTTTAATTATAAGCTTTAAGCACAATAAACCTCTTGGTAGAACTATTTTTAATTATAATGATATTAGCAAAAATTTGGGGAAAATTAATATATATACTTATGATTGTCACTGTGAAGAAGAGAAATATTTTGAATTTGTTGATAAACACCATAAACATATTATTATTGTAAATTTAAATATTATAGAAAACTTAGAACTTAGAAATTTAATAAAGAAAAGCACAAAATTTAGACTCATTTACCATATATCAAGTAATAAAATTCTAAAATACTTTCTTAATCATCTCAATGACTTTTTTTTAAAGATATCATATAGATTCTTTTTACCTTTAGGTATGATAACACAATGGAAATTGCTATATATATNACTATGTTTTTTTTCTCCTGGAATAAAATTATAATAAAAAATTTGATTGTAACTAGTTTAATAAACGTTTATAAGGTTATATATATATATATATATATACGTGCCTGTGTGTATATCTTTAAAAAGCAATCCGATGATGATACAAAACTCGATTTTAATCCCTCCTCCTATTTTTTTATTGCATGTTTAGATTCTCTGGAAAAAAAATAACCCTAGTTTGAGTCGTAGGTTTAAACACTTTGCTTCACAAATGGTACTGTAATCAAATTTTTACACCCGTCTATTTTTATCTTCATAATCTGATGTGTCTCGAGATTCGCCACTTGAAACAAAAACAGAGAAAATTTAAATAGCCTGTACTGTGTTTAAATTTTCTCGGCTGCAGAGCCATCTGTGAAGCAAAATGCATAAACCTACAACTCAAAAAGGATTGCTTTTTACTGAAGAATCCGAATCTGCAATAAATTTAATATCATAATTCATATTTATTATTTCAAAACTGCTATACTCCGTTTTGAGAAGGGGGTGAAAGATTACGTTTTATGTAATTTGAAAGCTTTTAAAAAATATTGAATGTGTCTTGTTCATTTTTTTCGATCTGATGTATATTTCTCGAGATAATCCGTTTCCAAACTTTTTTTTAGATAGCTTAAAAAAAAAATTGAATGTGAATGTTTCCACTTTTTCGATTTCTTGTATATTTCCCGAGACATTTGACAGTTTCCAAACTTTTTTTTAGATAACTTTAAAAAAAAAATTGAATTTGAATGTTTCCACCTTTTTGATTTCTTGTATATTTCCCGAGGCATTTGGCCGTTTTCAAACTTTTTTTACACGTTGTGTATATAGAGGTATATTTTAGTATAAAATAGAAAACTGTGTTCACCTAGTCCCCAAAAATCAAAAAAAATCCTTTTTCATTGAAAACAAAGCTAGTGTTTTAGTTTAAACCTGAACTAATTTTCTTCAGATTTCTCTTTGATTCTATAAAAGCGCTGCTCAATTCAACGTGACGTCAATAATCCACCCAAATTACCCTCCTCTTTTGAAATGTGACAGATTCTGGATTGCACTTGTAACAAATCTTGCACATACCTCACCCCACAATAATGTAAAAGTCAACATCTCAAAAACAATGCCCTCTCTTCGAACAAATAAAAATAAATAAATAAATAAAGGAAGTTATCTCTTAACGGCAGTTGACACCATTGCCTCTTTACTTCGAAGAGGATAGTAGAGGACAAAGAAGCGGAAAAAAGTTTCTATTCACGTCTGGGCTGAAGCCATGGACAAATTTGGCAACGTGTATCGCGTTGCTGAATTGTGACGAAAAACACGTAACTTCCGTTTGATGAGTTTGCGGCCCTCCAGACACCTGTTTGTTAGACGTCGTATCGATTAGAAGATGAATTAGCCTTCTATAATAAGAGTTGAGGTTAAAGCGTTTAAGAGAACAAAAGTTTTTTCGATCTTACTTCATTCTTTGAGTTATTTTTACCGTTGTAAATTTACCACAAGTTTGTTTAAACTTCTTTTTCGCGATTTCCACTAGATTTCCATTGCTTTTGGCTTCTTAAACGCTTTGCTTATGCTGTACCATCACACGTGGTCCACATATTGTACCAGTCGTAAACAAAAAGTTTACCCTTTGCACTCCAAGTACTGTTGGAACTAATATAAACCGTGAATCATTTAAAACAATGGTAACGAAACCCTGGGCCAAATTAAATTATTTCCCTTTTATTTACTGTGGTGGGTTTCTCTTGGGTTTGAGCGACTTTCTGTGGATGGAAAGTAGACTGTGAGCTAAGACAAAACTTAATTTAGTTATACTAAAAAAACTTAAAACTAAGATCCGTCACTTAAAGTTTCGCCCATACTGAGCATATAACTTTATTTTGTTTTGAAGGCGTGTTTAAATACAATTAAATTAAAATTATCGAATCAAAACCATCTAAAATATAAACAATCAACTGCTTTAGAAAAATTATCAATCGTTGGCTAGTCAGCGTTGATAAAAAGGGTGGGGAGCACTGATTCAAAATACATAACACAGTATCTTTAAATAATTTTTAATATTATTGAAACAATGAATGTGGCTACTAATTATTAAGGTATAAAAATTTTTTAATTTTAGAATGAGGACTGTTGATGATGCCTCATAGGCGACATTATGTAAAATAATTGATTAAGTTACATGTGGCAGTTTTTGTTAATAAATTATTTTGTTGATCAATTATTTACTGAAATAATCAGTTATTTACTGTAACAATCAATTATTTACTGTAATAATCAATTATTTACTGTAATAATCAATTATTTTGTTAATCAATTATTTACTGAAACAATCAATTATTTTTTTAATCAATTCCTTAAAGAAATAATCGATTATTTACTGAAATAAATAATTATTTTGTTGATCAATTCTTTAAAGAAATAAACAATTATTTTGTTAATCAATTCTTTAAAGAAATAATCAATTATTTTGTTAATCAATTATTTACTGAAATAATCAATTATTTTGTTAATCAATTACTTAAAGAAATAATCAATTATCTTGTTAATTAATTATCTACTACGATACCGTACAAAAGACGATTTCTTGCCTTTTAGCAACAGTCGAATGTAAAATGATAAATTTTCATCATTTGAACGAATCTGCGTTAAGATACATGTTAGCTATAGTTGGCCAGGACCGGAAAAGTTCAGAAAGTGTTGATAAATGATAGAGTTTTTTAAGGGTTGCTGGGATAAAAACTATCCACATAGTTTTGACTGTAAAATAAGCCCCGGAAATTGTCATTATTTTTATTTCTTAAACAACACTATTTTTAATCAAACACTAATTGTTTTGAAAAATGTTAACATAATCCAAATCATTTAATTTTGAGTCGCGATGGCTCAGGGGATAGAGCATTCACCTTCCAATGAGGTGAACCGGGTTCGAATCTCAGCAATGGCGGGTTGATACGAATCCGCATCCGTCTTGCGCGAGCCACAGTGCTGACATGAAATATCCTCAGTGGTAGACGGATCATGGGTTAGAGTCCCTTTGCCGTCAAGCTAACCGAGGAAGGTACTCGTGGTTTTCCTCTCCATGTAACGCAAAGGCGGGTTAATTTCATCAAAAAGTCCTATACGAAAGCAAATTTCTCCAAATAAAGTTAAACAGTTACTGCTGGTTTTCCAGAGATGCCAACTTGCTCCGGACAGCAAATAAATATTTTAAAGTGGTAGTTCATTAATTGTGATTCTTGGTTTAATAAATTCAATTTAGTAGATTTTTATCCACCACTATTTCTAAATAATTCGTTGGCTTATATAATTCACCAATTTATGGTAGTTATGTCATGCTATACCCTTTTAAAAGCAAGCAAAAATGGTCAAATATTTGCAAAATTTAGTTTGTAGTTATTTACCTTGTTTTAATTATTTCTGCGTGTCCGGAGCAATTGGCATCTCTGGTTTTCAACTCCATGTAACGCAAATGCTGTTTAGTTCCATCAAAAAGCCTCCCACGAAAGCAAATTTCTCCCAATAATTGATCCAGGATTTTTTTTTCTCTGGATTGGGTTCAGAATTCTAAGGCTACGGAGTTGAACATTGGTAGTCATAAACTCAAAATTGGGTCGGCTGTTCAACGACGGTTGTTCATAAAAACAAAAAACAAAATGCTTACGAAAGAAATGAAAAGTAAAAACTTACCTTAAAATCTGGTCTGACGAAATATAACAATGGATTTGACCTCAACCTCTCACTTTCATAATGGATCCTTCTGACCTCTTCTCTCCTTTGAGAACTAAGGTAGGCAACCTCCTCTCTTGGTATCACTTTTTGAGGTGCACTCAATTCTTTGGGCCCATGGGGCATACTTTTCTTCCTCTTCAGAAGATCACCACCACCCGAACTCACTTCCTGTTTCCGACGACTCGGAGGATTCACATAAAGGGAGGCAGTCCGGGGAAATGCACCGCTTCCCATGGAGGCTTCGGAACCTATTTCACTATCTAAACCCATACTACTCATGGTGGGACTCATAGTCCGACTCTCTTCTTCACTGGGAGCAAAACTAAGAAGGCTGGAAGCGTGGCTATCACCGTAAATCATGGGTGGCAATTGGGATTTTCTCTGGAATCGCGATGGAGAGAGTTCATCACCATCCATGCTTTCCGATACTCCCGAGTCAGGCGTGGCATCTGGACCATAGCTGGTCCTGGGCGAAGGATGGTAATGCTGTTGCTGGCTATACATCATGGGCGGCATTTCCCGACTCATACCACTCCTGGACGGTGAGGGTATCCTCCGCCCATGCTTGATGACTGTTCGTGGTCTAGGCTCTTGCCTGTAGTGTTCGAAATGATCACCCATCGCTTGTTGAATGGAGTAACCACCCTCTCTGCCACTAGGCCGCCGGCGGATCGAGCCTTGTCGATTAGGCACTACTGGTGGATCCTGTTGTCCTATACCTGGTGCGGGAGCAGGACCCAAATAATTAGCGTTCATTTTTTGGTACGACGGTTGTAGCACTTCTTGCGGAACGTGGGGCGGAAGCTTGGAAGGATAAGACCCATATCCTTGGGTTTGGTTGAGATAAGGCTGTTGAGGTGCTTGTTGTTGTTGAGGTACAGGATAACGATCCTGGGACATCATCTGTTGGGGCACATACCTGGAATCTTGGTTTTGTGGAGGGATCGGGTACGAAGTTTGATTCATATTGATTTGATTCTTGGGGTGAGGATACTGATTTTGATTAGCGACGTTTTGTGTTATATACATATCCTGTGGCGAACTGTTTTGAGTTATCCTGTTTTGAGGAGTTTCACCATATCTGTACTGTTGAGTTGGTGTGTTCAAACTCATGTTTCGAGGGGACATATTCCTCCTCGATTGATCCAGAGGCGAGTCTGTTCGATTGCTGTCCGGCGTCTCTCCTGATAGCGTTTGGTTGCTGAGATTTGTGAAAGGAACTCTCGACGACGGATTAGGGTTTAATCTGTCGTGGAGTTTATTTCTCATCATATCTGCGGGGTAAAAATAACAAAAAGTAAAACATGTGTTTGCATAAATGCCTTGTTTAATATTTTATTAAGTTAAATCCTCAATGTAAAGTTTCTAGATAGTAATGAAAAGCACAATTGATCAATTTCGTTAAAATTATATTATATGAAACGCTGGTTAATATTATGTACTGAAAGCCTGCCTTTTGAGACATTTTTAAAACATACAGAGAGCAAAATAAATCTCAAACTAAACACATTTTAATGTTATTATCGGATTGTAGGTATTAAACTCCTAGCAACACGAGAAGTGGACCTTTAATATACTTATTAATTAAAGTAGCCAGTAATTTAGGTTGTGAAATCAACACGAAACGCACTTTCTCTAAATGAATAAACAAAACGAAAAAAAAAAAAAAAAAAAAATAAAGAAAAAANAAAAAAAAAAAAAAAAAAAAAAAACTGCAAGAAAATATAAAAAAAACGGACCACTATGAGTAACTTTTGATCAAATGATCGGATCTTCCCGTTATAGGACTCAAAATTAATGATTTGGGGTGATCTCACATACATTATTTAATCTGCGCGGACGATATTTCAAATTACAAAAATTAAAGAATGTAATTTTACACGGAAAAATACAAAATTTGAGCGAAATCGGTCGAATAGTTCCTGAGAAGTTCGATTTATTTTGCTCGAAATTTGCATTTTGCCATGTAAAATTGCATTCTTTAAAATATGTAAAAAATTGTATACTCTACAATTCTAAAGTTTTTCGACTATTATTAAAGAAAATAATAAATATATACCAAATGTTATTTTTTACTTGGAATTATCTTTGGAAAAACGATATTTATGACTGCATTTAAAAGATTATGTTTATGACTGTATAAAAAGATTAGAACATTCTTGAGATATGGCGAGATACACAAAAATTAAAATTAACATTAAGGAGTCCAAACTTTGAAATACTCTCTGAAACAAACTTTTGGAACCATATTTTCCAGATTGCGGCTACGGTTAGAGAATCAAATCCGTTGAAAAAAAAAGTATGTTTATTTAGGGATTTGCATCTTAAAATATCGCTTGCACTTATTAATTAGCATATTTTAGGTCAACCCTCGAACCATAAAGATTTAATCCTATTACGTTAAGATCTAATCATTAGATTATAGATCATGAGTTTTTTTTCCCTTACGCATTGTGTTTTCATATTACGAATTTTTTTCGCCCGCAAAATTAGGAGTTGCCGAAATACGGAAAATAAGGTTTCCAAAGTTAAGCAGACTAAAGTTTCAGTCTTTTGTTATTACTTTTACTTCTTAATATGTAACATTGTTTATAGAGCTATTAATGTTAACCGAACTCAAATACAGGATGATCCGCAATCATTAATCCTAATACACTTTAATCTGTATCGAATTGTGTATAATCTTTATCGAATCCATAATCTTTATTGAAATTATATTAAGAAAATTATACTTAAAAGTTCGTAAAATATTTTAATGATGAAAATTTTTTTTTTAAATCTAACTAATTATTACAGAGTGAGAGAGACTGGAAACATTAAAACCTATTTAAGTGCCGGATTAAACAGATAAGTGAAAGATGGCTGTTGAAATAATTCCAAGTTTCATATAGCAATATAACTAGTTTCTATAATTTTCTCCCACATCCATCACTAGTGATTCGATGGACTTCAGTGATGGTTTTGTTTCGAAAACTTATAGATTATAATACCCCTATAAAGAATATTTTTTGTATAAACGAGTTTTATAATTGAACTACAAATGTTTTGATGTGTTTAAATAATCTCAGAGATACAAAGGAATAAATGAAAAGTAAGAACAAACATTCAAATTTTCGTTTAATTTCTTGATTGAAGTAAGTATTGGGAACGCGGGTAGTAAACCGACACCAGTATTTTGAGGATCAAAAATCCAAATCCTTGGCAGAAAAGATATATCCATTCAAACAAAGTACATTTTTGTGTCTTATTTTGTAACATAAAAATATCACCAGCAGCAATTTATTTCTCTTTTTAAGATCTAACCCTGCAACCCATTAACGTGCATGTTTGAACGAAAATATCTGAATATTAGATAATAAATTATTGAAATCTTCCTTTATTTATTAATTTATTTTGTGCATCTTACGATGAGAGGAAAAATAAGTCCTCGTTTATAATAAATTCAACAGAGTATTTTGTAACTAATTCCTTTCAGATATATTTTTAGGTGTCTTGTTTAAATGAGTCAAATTTTTTTTTCCATTATAGTTCGCAAAGTGACATTTAAGCTAGAAAAAACAACATCAACTAATCACTGCTGTAGAAGCTGGTGTTAAAAACGTCAAAATTCATTTCATTTCCTGTGGAAATGAAGAGTTGGATAAATTTAAATATTAGAAATACATTCACATTAATTCTGGCAATCAAACGGGTTTTGATATCCATCTTTTTAACTTATGATTTAACAGATTGCGATAGCGCTTTTCTTCGTTTGAATTTTACTGTACAACTCCTAAAGTCAATAACTGCGTTTTATTTTACTAATGAAAATGATTTCTAGAATATATATTAACCCTTTCCGGATTAGCAAATTTCGATTCAAAATTTTAGTCGGGCAGGACATCAGCAAGCGCGAACTTAGTCAGCACATGTCATGGGTACCTACTACACCTTACGACCTTAGTCAGTACTTGTACGGAATACCTAGCCTGGGAGAATATCCTTCATCGAAAATTAATTAACCCTTTGATGGGCCATTTATTTCTAGTAAAGGTAAATTAAAGTATTTTTGGAATTGAAATTGTTTTAAGAATAGTAATTGATACAAAAAAGAAAAAACTCATTTAGTTTATAAAAATGCCATTTTTTTTGGTGGTAAATATATTTAATACGACCTATTGGGAACTTATTGACTTTTGTTTTTCTTTATTTATAAAATAAATTCCTTAAATGCTACAAACTTCAAAAGGAATTATGTATTTTATAACTTTTATGCGTTTTTCTAAACTAACAAATGGTTACCAATTTTATTCAAGCGCACTTCAAGAAAGCTGAAGTTATTAGCAAATGGAAACTTAAATCAAAAGTGGTGGTAAGTATACTTCCCACGGCATTCGAAACGGTTAAGGAAAGTGCACTTTAGATTTTTGTTGCTTAAAAAATAGTGTTTGCTAAACGCTTAAAAGTAATGAGTTTCACATTTCTATTGGTTTGAACCATTTATTGAATTAGTGTTGCCAGACTGGTTACACTAATTCACCATGCACACATTCCACACACTGGCTACACATTTCTATTAGTTTATAGCATTTATTGAATTAGTGTTGCCAGACTGGCAACACTAATTCAATACACACATTCCACAGAATAGCTACACTTCATTGGTAAGGTTTAAAGGTGATCATTGCGAAACTGCCTGTATATGATAAATACATTACAATACAAAAAAGTGGTTAAATACGACCATAACTAATAGCCTCTGGATGTTCGTGTATTGTAATAGTTTATTTCAATAAAAGACATGCAGATGTATATAAGAGTTTCACACGAAATAAAATAATCAAAAAGAGCTTGAACATTATAATAAATTTTTATCGAAACAATTATGAACTTGACAACACGAAATATTTTCTCCTATTTAAATAGGCTTATTTTAATATCAATAATCTAAACTATTACAAAATTGTTTTTTAGTGCAAAAACAAATAATATGAATACAATTTTGAAGAGTAAGTATTTTTTTTATTGCGTTAAGTATGTAAATAGTAAATAGTTAGCAATTGAAAATCTTTTAATTTTTAATTTAAATAGATATTTGGAAATATATATATATATATATATATACACATATTTCTATATAAAATTTGTTTCGTATAATTGTTTTCTTGCATGTCATATTCGATAAAAAACGGTAAGATAACTAAATGACTTTTAACTCGCACATAAAACAATTTAAGTGGCGTGTCGTTAGTTTAGTGATTAAATCATTTGCGTCTAGCGTTCTTTCAACTTTCACCAGAACAGCAAAATTCGATTCATAATTTCAGACAAAGCTTTCAGAACTTTTGGTAATTTTGCTATCATTTTAAAAGCCTCGCCACGAAAGCGCTAGAATAAAGTGGCATTGCATAAAAACTTTTAAACCATTTGTATGTATTGATGTGGGTAGATAAGTTCAAATGAATAAAAAATAATACATTAAGTATACTTAGGTGCCACAATAATAAACAGCCTTGTGAATGAATATATATATATATANTCTCCTTCATGGATGAGTTTTTGATAAAACTAACCCGCTTTTGCGTTACATGGAGAGGAAAACCGCAAAAACATCTCACGGTGGAGATTAGAGTCCTCCACTAGAGGACTCTAATCCATGATCTGCCTACAACTGAAGATATTTTACGTCGGTACGAGCCGGGGGCGGTATTCGCATTGACCAGCCATCGCGGGAATACGAACTTTCATTGAAAGGTGAGCGGTCTATCCCCTGAGCCACCAAGGCCCACGGCTCTATAATTTTCATTGAAGTAATTACGCCTAAATATTGATTTCATTAATCAATTAGTTTAGTCATCCATCCCATTAGTTAAAAGTTCTTTTTAACCCATTAAACGCCAACGCTCTAATGCACTTTACAAACACTCAAAGAATGCAGGTGTATTAAATACATAAATACTGGTGAGTAAGCAGTATATAGTCTGAATAAAATTAGGGAAATGTAGACAATTTTTATAAGTTTGCCAAAAAAGTTTACTGGCCATTATTTCGAACATAATCAGCGTTTTTTTCTCCTTCATTAGAATCGGAAAATTTATTTTCATTTTGAACGAAAAATAAGTACATTTTTAAGAATTTAATAATTTTTTTAAATATTATTTAATAATTTTTTTAAAAAAAAAGTGCATTATTTTTTCTTCACACTTTGAACAGGGCTAAAGGTAAAAAAGAAGGTTCAGGTCACTCCCATGCGTCTTGCCTTAGACGCGCGTTAAGCAACAGTGGGGATAATAAA